GGACTAATTTGTTAGAGAAGGAGTTTGAGTTAATAATGATACCCAAAGAGCCTGTTAAAGTGGGAACACCTAGGGCTCAGGGAATAAAACGAATCCTAGAAAAGCTTACGTGGATTCACAGGTGCTGCAGACCCCCTGAAGGTTATTTTCCCAGTCCCAAGATAGTACGATAAAATTAAGCTCAAGTCAAAGACTCATCTAGGGAAGGATTCCTCTTGTCCAGCCTTTATTAAGGTTTTAGTCCAGTAGTCAATCTAAATGTCTTGAAGCAAAATCGTTGGCTCTGTTTTAATAAACTGCTAGCAGCATACTAATTGCTTTCATTTTTCATGCGCTCTAGGATATTTATACTTAGCCCTTTTGACCCACGCTGGATGCTCCGTCCTTCTCGAGGCAGGACTGCTGCTGGTATAAATGCCATCTGGGCATAACCAGATACACAAGATGGTGGCAAACATGAATTCGAATGCCTTTGAGAATCTGGCTGTGAGGGAACATCGGGTGCGTGGGGAGAGACCAGGCTGACTTACCACTCGTTAGATTGGGAAGCTGGTCGGTGAGTGTGTACAATTGGGATTGATGTATGACTACTTGGCACACTGGGTCTTTGGCCTACAGATTAACAACTGTCATAGTAAGGAAGCCAAGTGGAAATCTCTGACACTCCCTATTCCTACTCTGGCTAAAGTAGTAATATAGAAGAATATTACATCCTGGGCAGTGAGGAGAATGGCAAAGATTAGTGTCACTCTTAAAGAAAAGGGGTGGTGGACTCTACCATACCTTTACTGAACTGGCCAGGATGGATTCTGGAGAATGGCTATGGACGACTCCGAGTTCAACCAAGTAATAGCACCAATTGCAGCTGCTGTGCTTCAGATACATGATATGCAGTCATTCATTTGACAAGTGCATTTTTTTTCCTGTTTGAATCAGGAATGAGGATCAAAAATAGTTCACATTTTATGGAACAGACAGCAATATATATATATATTTCTAGCTCTGCCCCAGGGCTATGATAACTCCCACCTTCTTTCATATTATAATGCAAAGAGATCTGAGCCATCTGGGTACTACAGAACACACCTTGACAACATCAACATCAACAGACTGGTCACGATGGGTAAGAGATGGCCAGCAGGCTGGACGCCTTGGTGACACACATGTGCTCCAGAAGGTGGGAGATAAATCCTACAAAGATTCAGGGATGCTATTTCAGTATAGTTGTAAGGAATCCAGTGGCCAGGAACATGCTGAGACAACTCCTCCAAAGGAAAAGACAAATTGCTGCATCTCGTAGCCTCTCTACAAAGAAATTCTTTCTTCTTCGTGGACTTCTTCAGGTTCTGGAGGCTACACGTTCCAAACCCAGGGAAACTGCTCCAGCCCACATTCCAGGTGACATGGAATTAAGCCAGTTTTGTGTTGGTCTGAAAACATAAAAGAATTCTGTTGCAACTCCAGGCTACTATGCAAGCAGCTCTGCTACTTGGGCCATGTGTTCAGTAGATCCTTTGATATTGGAGGTGTGTGTGGTGGAAAAAGATGAAATATGGAGTTTATTGCAAACCCCAGCAGGAGAACTACCACCCAGGGCCCTGGAGTTCTGGAGAAAGGTCATGCCATCTGCAGCAAAGATTTACACACCTCCTGAAAATCAGCTTTTCTCAAGGGACTGGGCCGTGTGATGGAATATTTGTCCAAGAGAGAGCGGTCGTTTATCCAGAGCTTCCCATGAAGACCTAGGCCTTGTTGGATCCACCAAGTCATGAAGTCAGATGGACCCAGTAGCAACGTAACATAAGATGGAAATGACTTATCTGCAACCAGTCATGAGTAAGATGTCTGAGTAGCTAGTCCAGACTCCGTGTCATCTGACGCAGTTGTGTCAGTACCTGCTCCTCAGCCATATCACACATATGGCCTTTTGTGGGAAGGTGAATATGACAAGCTGAAGGAGGAGAAAGAAGCCTAAGCCAGGTGCATGGATGGACTCGGTTGGTGTGTATGTGCAAGCCTCAAGCAGACACTGGCTGGCTACATGGCAGCCTCATTCAAGTGGTTTGGAAGACAATGACAAGAGAATACCCTCTCAATGTGTGGAGCTTTGGGTGATATATCTTGTCATGTATTTTTGTCAAAGGAGACAGTGTTCTGAGGTTAGAATATGTACAAACTCAGAGGCAGTGGTGAATCACATAACTGGCTGGACAAGGGCCCAGAAAGTAAAAGATGGGAAAATCGGTAACAAAGGGTCCTCGAGTAAAGACATGTGGATAGACAGATGAGGATGGACATGAAGTGTGAAGATCTTTGTGTCACATATTAACACCCGTCAGAAAATACCCACTACAAAAGAGGAACTAAACAACCAAGTCGACAAAATGACTTGGCCAGCTGATGTTAGGCAGTCTTTGTGAGTGTTGGTCCAATGGGTACAGGTATGAAGTGGCTATAGCAGCAGGGATGCAGGTTGTGCATGGGTCAAATAGCATGAACTCCCATTTAGCAAGGCTGGTCTATCTACTGTGATCTCTGAAATGTTCAGCCTGCTAATAACGGAGTCCAAGGCTGAACCCCCAATATGTTACTGTTGGGGAGACCAATTGGCCATTTGGTGGCAAAATAACAAATTGTACCCCTTTCATCCTGGAAGGGTCAGCACTTCTTTTCCACAGGGATAAAGCCATATTCTGGACATGAGTATGCCTTTCTTGCCTAGGGGCCTCAGCCAGCACCACTAATGGGAGGCTTGCAGAATGCCTGATCCATAGGTGTAGAATTCCATGCAAAATAGCATCTGACTAGGGAACCTGCTTTATGGAAAAGAAAATGTAGGAGTTAGCCCACGGCCATGGGATTCACTGGTTGGAGTAGCAATAGTATGAGGCAGATGCCAGCCTAGGTGGGAATTGAAGTAAATTGCTTAAGGAGTAGGTGAAGCACCACCCTGAAGACAATACTGTGCAAGGATGAGGTGGTATTCTCCAGGATACTGTGTACACAGTGAGTCAGAGACCTTTGTAGGATGCAGTGTCCCCAGTACATCGATCCAGGAACCAAGGTGTGGAAGTAGGAGTGGCCCTACTTGCCATTACTCCCGAAGATTACTGGGGAACTTTGTGCTCTCCAACCCCTCATCTCTGGCCTATGCAGTTTGAACTCCTGGTTCCTCAAGAGGGTACATTCTCACCAGGGGACATGGCAAGAGTTCCCCCAAATGATAAGCTATAGCTGTAATGCTGCCTGGGCACACTGGGCTCCTTGTATCCAAAGACTAGCAGGCAAGAACAAGAACCATCATCTCCTTAGGAGCAGTTGACTCTGATCAACAGGAGGATGCAAGGCTGTTGTTACACATTGGGTTTAAGGGATAACATATGGAACTCAGTGACCAATTTGGGTACCTCTTGGTACTCCCTTACTCAATTAGGACTGTGATGGACAAGTATAGCAACCCTAGTCTGGGCAGCATATGGTTACCAAGAACACAGACTATAAGGAATTAAGGTTTAAGGTTTGAGTGAAACCACCAGGTAAGCCGCTGAGACCAGAGAGACAAAAGTCAAGGGGATACAATGGAAGCAGAAGCAGAAGAGGGAGAGAGTGGGTACCAGTTGTAGCCCTAAAATCAACTGCAGTGACAGGGGTTTTAGGCCATTAGAGGAGCTGCCCTTGATCATGGATGGAAAATTGGATCTACACATTGCACAGAGTGGACCATGGCAGACACTAAGATGCACAACTCCGATCCATCCTCAGAAAAGGAGTGGTTTCCAGCTACAAGAAGTATGGTTAGCCGACAGCTTCCAACTGTTAGCTCCTTTAGCATTTGTATCAGTGTTAAAGCGGAAGCTATGTTCTTGTGGCATTCCCAAATCGACGACTGAGAAAAGCATTGGTAAAGGACCCTGGCCATTTCTGGGCAAGTCATGCCTTGTCTAATGGAAAATCTTTGCTCCAGAGCATCCCACTGGGCTGACCGACTTATGTCTGTAGCATGGTCTGACGGTCCCTCTTGCTCAACCCTACTTCTTCCCGTTCTTTCACAGGTGTTACTCCCCAACAACACTCTCTGCACTCCCAACTCCACCTCAGCATCTGCTTCCTGGACAACAGAATCTGTGACACTGGTGTCTTTGATAAATTTACAAGCCCTGTACAACTGTTTTGCTTCATTGTATGCTCTACTATGGAGTCCAGATATTTCTGTAGTGCAGTTGTTTTAACCACTTATCCACTGATTGAATAATATCTAACCTCCTAGATCTAGCTCATTAAGATGATTACATCTAAGGCTATACTTACATTCTCCCTGAAAATGGTAATGTAGTCCATAACAGGAGCCTCAAAATGTATGAGGTAATGGAAAAATGAAATTTAAATTTAAAGCAAACAAAATGTTAACACAACCGAGACAGTTCCTGTTGTCCTAGTTGTATTCCCTAACAGTGGAATAAAGCTTACATCTGCCCTCAAATGTATCGAATATTTCAGAAAACATTTTTCTCTCTTTAGTCTGTATTATCTGATGTCTGCTTCCCCTAGTCTCATTCTTATTTATTAAACACCTTAATTGTATTACTTAGGTGACTAAGAAGCATTCAAGGATGAAGTCAGAATGAGCTGATGAACTGAAATTGCATTGTCTTTTTTTTTTTTTTAACAGATCTAGATCTTGCAGACCATAATAGAAAACCTGTCTCCTTTATTTTTAGAGTCATATATGCTTTACAAGGCTGTCTCTTGAATTTTAAGGAGGAACAGTAGTGTGACTGCTTCATCCTTTCCAATAACAAAATCTTTGATAAAGACTCCTGGAACATTATTGTTTTTCCTTGATAAATGCCAATTTTAAGTTCACTTGGAACATTATGCCTCCTTGATAAAAGTGTGAGTTAGAACTGAGTGATCTCTCTCACCTTCGGCTATCTGCTGAAACCAGTTTTAGGGCTCTAGAATGTCCCAAGGTTAAAAAATAAATCATCAGTCTTCTTGGGTCACATTACTGGTTCATTTATTCTTGTGAATGACACCCAGCCTGTGTCCAGTATGGCATTTCAGAGGAGAAGGGAGGACAACAGATTTGTCCCAACCACAATTTCACAATTCTGGAAATGGCGAGGGCAAATTCCAATCTGGATCTAGAGCTATTAGCCACATCAGTGATTCTGTTACAGAGCCTATCAATTTAGAAAATGGATATTGAGGACATCTCATTTTAGTTTTTCAGTGAAAAGGAAGACTAACAATAAAGGTGTGTGCTGGGGAACTTTAGCAGCAAGCACTACAGTACAGCTGTCAGTGCATGGATTCCGCAACCAAACTGCTTGGGTTTGCATCCTGGTCTTGTCATTTACCAGCCACGTGACTTTTGGTATTACTTAACCTATCTGTGCATCAACTTCCTCACTAGTAAGAAAATGGAGATAAGTAAGAGTGCTGACTTTGTAGGGTTGTTGTAAAGACCAAATAGGAACTTCTTTTCCAGAGAAGAACTGAAAGAGAAATGTGACTTCAAAACTCAACCTTCTTGTTTTAAATCCATTCTAGTAACTAGAGAACGTCACAGCATTTTCAGTTCAGTAGTAATTGGATGTCTTGATACATGTCTGCTTTGCAGGTACTCAGAGAAGCTCACATTAAATAGTAATTAAATAAAATGTAGCACTGAGGTTTAAATCATAATTCTTTGAAGTCTGAATAGCAAGCAGAAATAATCTTAAATTTAAACAGGTCATGATATTTATGTACTTCTGAGGCATTGAAAGAGAAGTTAATGGACTCTCTCTTCAATACAGAAATAAAGTAGTCCTTAGACTTTAATCCTTGGTGGAAGGTTAATTCATAATAGCTTTTCAAGAAATTATTGATAAGCAAGCAGGGTTCAAATGTACAAAATTCTAATACTTACAAAATACTATTTTCTAAGGAAAAAAGGGCCCCCTGAATAAGAAGTGGCAAATTTTAATTTCAACAAATGAGATTTTCAATCTTACTCATAAACGGTGATGCCAAATATCTCAAGAGAGGGTTTATCCTCAAAGGATAAAAAAGGAGTATAAGGAGCATGTCAGAAGTATAAGATTTTGCTAACAGAAAAGCAATCACACATTTCTTATGAATCTTTGTTTTGTAGTTTTCAACTCTGGAAAAATTCCAATTAAATTTTTCAAAATGGTCAGACTTAAGTTTGGGACAATCCTCCAGAGAACTCAACCACAGAACCAGTGAACATTTTTAGCTATATAAAAATAAACATATACCTTGACCCCACACTCCAGAAAAAAAAATCAGAACACAAAGAGAAAATGGATTTGAATTTTAATTTTTTTAAAGATTATCTCTCTATATATATTAATAAAAAGTGCAAAGAATAGATCTTCATGTTTAAATTATGTTCTAAAATAAAATATATATATATATATATATATTTTTTTTTTCCATTAACTCCAGGAGACAACTGGCAAGTAAAGAGCCTGAGAGAGTCCAGTCCCTCTCCATCACTACAATGGACATATATTTCAAGGAAGCACCTATGAAAAATAGTAGAGTGTTCACAACACATCTGGTACCACAGATAGCTTCTGGGTGTTCTTGAAAGCAGTTTGTTTGCATTTTCAATCTGACATGAAATGAAGGGAAAAATCAAATTCATAAACAGAAATTACATTACTTAGAACAATCTAGTATTCTGTATTCACGTTTTACATGCCCTAGAGCCTAGCATTTCCATGTAGCAAGCTACACTCACATGTGCGTTAGTAACAGCTATCAGCGGCGTGCCTCAAATGGTGATCAGCTCTTAATGCAAGTGCTCTCTGCTCCTGCCACTGCTGGTTTAGCGACATAGCTGGAACATCTGGTTAGAATGGGATGTTCTTTTCTTTAAAAATAAACAACATTTTTAAAAAACATTGTAGCATTCAGCCCTGTTATTACTAGCTTAAATTATATTTGGAGCTTAATATTTACTGAGAGGTCTTAATAAACAAGGGGCTTATACTATCTGCTTTTCTTACATATTTATGGCAATGGTGGCAAAAGGTTGCAGAAGCTTTTAATAATAAAAAAAGATATGTGACTCTGGATTTCATCCTTTAATGCAATCTAGGATATTTCAACAATTCAAATTCAAAAATTGATTTCTACTGTGGCTTCAGCAGCTATTCACCCACATGTAGAAAGAATCCCTTGGTTTTGATTTGGTTTTATTACTCTTTGCCTTTTTCATAACTGGAAATAATTCTTATTTTAGAAAAGATATGTTCTATATATTGTGCCTACAGCAATATATCAGTAATACTGGCTATGACAGCATTTTGCCTCATAATGTTAATAATATGCTCTCACTGAATCTGGACAAAGTCAATATTAAAATACAGGTAAGCTGCAGACAATCAATTAGGCATAACATGTAGACTCAAGGTCCATGGTCTCTTCTCTTCTTCTTTTAGTCCTGTTATAAAAATAATTTTGGTTACAAGTGTCTACACAGCACCAATTTTATTTCAAAAGCAGCATTTTTACTCAGCCACCCAAATGAATCTGTAAGTACACATGCTCAGATAGCTTTTTTCATTTACTTCTGTTCTGTAACTCTAAAAGACCAGTAATTGTATTACATTTTTTCTCTTAATCAAAAATTATTTGGCAATTATTAAAACCATCAATTACAATGCCCTAAAAATACCCACATCCGCTGAATTAAATGAGAAGCTCCCTTTACATGCAACTGTATAATAAAAGAATTATGCCCGCAGTTGATAAACACTGTGTTCTGTGATAACAGAAGAAACAGGTCTCTAACAGTAAAAAAGCATTTCATAAAACTTTGCCATATATAAAATATCTTATTAATTGTGACCATTCCACTTATGATTAAAGCATAACATAAGTGTTTGTTCTGCCTTCTGCTGTGGAACAGTCCGGGGTCATACAACTTCAAAAAATAAGAGTGCATCTGTTTCCCAGGCTGACAAAAGCAGAGGGCTCAATTACACTGTATCTCTCTCAAACTCGTCTGCACTCATGCGTACATACACAAAGCACCTACAGTTTCAATCTTCATGATACTGTTGCCACACTTTTTTCTTACTTCCAAAAATATGTCAGGAAAATGTGTTTGCAAAATAATTATTCTTGTCCATGCCCAGCCTGGATCTCCGTTGCTCATTTTTATGATTTTGAAAGATAAAGTCTGCAGCAGAAGGAGAATAGGCCTTATTCATCTTTCTCAAACCCTTTGGTTTCCACCTTTAATGTTACACTGAATGTAGATTTGACTCAATAGGCCTGGGTCAAAGGCTTTACAGATAGCAAACCTGAAGTGCATTAAGAGAATAAACATCTGCCACATGGCACAGGAAAATTTAAAAAGTAGCATTAATAAACACAACTCCTCATACATGAAGAATTTACAAGAGTCATCTAAAAACTTCATAAAAAATTAAATTTGTAGGAGGGGTGGAATTATGTAACAAAGGTCAAAAGGTCAAATGCAATCAGATAATAATTGCATTCTTTGAAAAAATACTTCACTTACACACCTTCTGCCCCAGTTATGCTAAGTATTTCTCAAGTCTCCCATCTGTAAACATGGTGGACCAAGAAAAATACACATTAAAGAAAGGGATTACATCTGATTAACAAGGGAACAGAAGAACAAACAAAAAGATTTCAGAGCACATAAGGAACTAGCTTTTAAAGAAAAGTGCTTTAAATGTGCTTCTGCAAAAATATGACTTAGAGGCAATTCTGAAGTTTTGACACTTACACTTTACTCATAGGTTGGGCAGTTATTCTTCTATGAGTCAACTAAATTGAAATGCAAAACAAAAGAATTGTCCAATTATGACATCACAAAGTCCCAGGGAAAATCTGGGAATAAAAGCTCCTTTTGATTAATGTTTCCTACTTTTGATTGCAAAGTGCAAGAGCAAGGGCTTTGAATGAATGACACAGGTGGGAAAGTCATAAGCTCTTCCCCCACATTCCCCCACACACACCACAGATAGTTTATGAGCTAATTCTCAACTCTCCTGGCACAGGTATCCAGGACTCTATTGGATTCTTTATAAAGTCAGGCCTCAATTCCCAGTAGCTTAAAGTAATGAAAAAGAAAGATATGAGAAAATATATTCAATAAGCAAAAATAAAAGAACTCTGGAATCTGACATAGGTAATGGCTGATATAATGTACTAGGGGCATTAAAAGTGAGTTGGTAACATACAAAGAGATCAGACTGTTCTGTGGTGCTTCTGGAACAACTGCAAGTTTTCCTGGAGTTTTCACTCTACATCTACTCTTCTTCAAGGTTCTAACAGAGTTATAGCCTCTTACTGCATACCTGAGATTAGAATCAGGTTGAAAAATTCTTAAAACACTTTCAATTATTTCAAAAGAGAGAAATGAGAACAAAAAAAAAAAAATCACCCGGGTTGAGAAATGAGAAGTTAATTCTAAACACAACAAAAATATTAGGCAAACCACATGTCAAAATAAAAAAAAATGGAATTGAACCAAAAAAGGCAAGGAGGGAGGGCAGCGGAAGGAAGAACTAGGAGAGAAAAGTTCTGGCCCTTCCTGTGAAGATTCCTTGTCTCCTCGTTTAAATTCTCTAAGAGACCCTTCTGAGGGGCTACACTGTTCATGCTATCTTCATAAGTACACCCAACAGTAATGATAACCAAGTGGCAGACAAATCCCAGTGAACACAGTAAGAAGGCGGTGATTTCTTTGTCATCTTTCCTCAGAGAGGGCACATAGACTGGAAATGTGGCCAATTCCGCTGGCTAAGCCAAATAAACCTGTGGTAGAAAATACCAAAAATGGCCCCCTACCCACTCCAGGGGAAAAATATACAAAATCCCTCCCAAACCTAAACAGAACAAAACAAAACAAAAACAACCTTCTCCCTCCTAAAGAAAACCACATTAAAAACAAATGCCCTGCAACAAGTCCTTATGCGTATGTTTTCACAAGGCTGGTAGAGGTTATTTTGTTTTCGATTCCACATAAATTTTATCTCCATCCCTAATGCCGAAAGAATGCAATGCCCGAGAGCTGTACTTCATTTCCTCTGGGCCAAAGGGTGCTTCATGGTCAAAATAGTAGAGAAGCATGTTGCTTGTGGGTAATTGTACTAGAGTTTTTAACTGTTTCTTTAGTTCTGCAACTGTTTGGTCCAGACGAATGCTCATTTCTTCCACCTGATCATTAAAGTGGACTTCTACTTTTGCACTGCTCTGGGGTCTTAGGTCCACTTCTGCCAAAGGCTCCAACTTCCCATATTTTGTGATCAGTTCATGATACCTAGAAGGATTAAAAAAAGAAAAACATAAAACAGTGTCAGCTTAAACTACTAGCACATGAACTGTGGACTTCTTCCCAACTACAGATAAACTATATTACTACTCTCAACATCTTTTAAAAATCTTATTCTATCACATGACCTCTGTAGATTCTGTGACCTAACGTGAGTGCCCTAGGGAGGGCACAGCAAAACCATATCTTTGTGGACAGGGGAATCATTTTTCCTGAAGATGGTCACTATACCTACTGTTAATCGATTATTACATAAGAATAGGCGTCGAAAGAAATGAAACCTATAAAAGTAGACAACATAAAGATAATAGAATTCCAGTCTCTCTGTAGAACTTGCTTTCTGGGGTGTCATCATCAAGACAGACAGACATGCAGGCATGTAAGTCTTGGGAATAGATGGAAAGATGGAAGGAGGCTAGCAGTTTCTGACACCTGGAGAAGACATAACTTATAAACAAAAACATGCAGTTGTATGTTAGCAATTAACCTAGCTCTTTCAGTGATGCCTTGTTTGAATGTTCCAACCTAATCTCAGGTGTAATACATAGAAGTTATGGAAGACTCAAGAATACACTCTTGGAAAAAAGTGTTAAATAAGAGACGTATGTTTCTTGATCAAGGGAGGAATACAGAGAAAAAGACACCAAGAGGAAAGTGAATTACAGAGATGAGAATAGGGCCCACAAAGGTCATGTTTCCCATAAAGAAAATCTCGTCTGCACCGCCAGCCTTCGAGGATTTAGATCTGATTTTATCAAGGACTCTTAGAAGTTTCCTACATACCAGAAGGGGAAAAAATGCTGAAAAAAATTAGTATTAGTTTTATTAAAACAAGATTAAACACTGAAGTCACTTTAATTAAGGATCAGAATACAAGTCACATAAAATTATTCCCTTACCTCCCCCACACCACTTTTAGATTTAACGCAATTAAAATCAGTGTCATAATAAGGTTTGTGGGTGCATTAAAGATACAGTAAGTGCTCATACCCGGAATCCTACCACCTTGGGAAGCCCAAGGGGAAGAATCACTTGAGCCCAGGAGTTTGACCAGCATGGGCAACATAGTAAGACCCCCATCTCTTAAAATAAAAAAAAAAAAGATGGCTGTGCTTAGAGATGGAAGTAATCATTTCCAATAAGTAGAAATAACAGGGAATGGTTAAAAATAGCCCTGGCTCTGTCTTCAGGGTCTTGACTCCATCTTATAATTAGCTGTGTGACTTGGCAACTACTCTGTCTTTTTGGATCTCAGTTTCCTCATTAGTAAGATCAGGAATAATTTCTGCCTTTCCTACTGTATAAGACAGTCATAAAAACTAAATAAAATAAGAAATGAGTAAACACTTTGTAAATTCTATGTTCATTAAAAAATGAAAATATTTACATTATATTACTGCTGCTCTGGAGCTTCTATTATTAAAGCACACACACCCATTAAAAAATATAAGATTGAAATTTACTTAGGTGAGACTTCAGGATATCAGGATTTTAGCAAAGGCAAACAAAACAAAACAAAGCAAAAGAAAGAAAAACAAAGCTACCAGGACTTAAAATTTTCCAAGGCTCCAAACTGAAAAGGTAAGATAACCCAAAGTCTCGGGTTATCTTTTCTCCACCCCATATCCTAGTATATGCCTTCAAAGAACTGAAACTAGGTTATGAAAATTTAACAAAATCTCAGAAAAGACAGCAGAACCCAGTGGTTAAGTAAGAACTGAACCCAGGATGGCTGAATAGGAACAGCTCTGGAGTGCAGTTCCCAGTGAGAACAACACAGAGGGTGAGTGATCGCTACATTTCCAAACGAGTTATTACTGCCCACAGACCAGGAGATTCCCGGGCTGAAAAGCGCCACAAGTTTCCAGCATGGCTGTTTCAGCCGGCGCAGCTGGTCTCTGCACAAAAACTCACACAAATCTGGGCGGCTGTTTCAACTGGTACTGGGAGACAGAGCCGCCCATTCAACTGAAAAAAAAAGGGGCTGAAACAGGGAGCCAGGTGATCTGGCTCAGCAGGACCCACCCCCACAAAGACCAGCAATCTGAAACGCTCTGGATTGAGAGTTTCACAGCAAGTGCAGCTGGACTTGGGACAGTCCAGCTCGGTCAGGGGGACAGGTGTCTGCCATTACTGAGGCAGTCCACCACTACCAAGGCAGTCCGCCATTACCGACACAGTCTGCCATTACTAAGCCAGTCCGCCATTACTGAGGCAGTCTGCCATTACAGAGGCAGACCGCCATTACCAAGGCAGGTCTAACTATACCTCTATAAACAAAACTGCAAGGAAGTTCACACAGCAGCTGGGCAGAGCCCATGGCAGCTCAGCAATGCCTCTGCTGGCAGACTATGACTAGGCTACCTCCTCACTGGGCAGGGCATCTCTGAAAAAAGGCAGCAGCACGTCAGGAACTTATAAATAAAGCCCCACCTTCCCAGGACAGAGCACCTGGGAAAAAAGGTGGTTACAGGTTCCACTGCGGCAGACTTAAATGTACCTGCCCAGTAGCTCTTAATGGAACAACAGAGCTCACAGCTCAGCATTTGAGCTCCTATAAGGGTCAGACTGCCTCCTCAAGCAGCTCCCTGACCCCTGTATATCCAAAGAGACACCTCATAAAGGAGAGCTCAGGATGACATCTGGTGAGTATCCTTCTGGGACAAAGATAACAGAAGAAGAAACTGGCAGAAATCCTTACTGTTCTTCTGCAGCCACTGCAGGCAATTCCCAGGCAAGCAGGATCTGGAGTGGACCTCCAGCAGTCCTAGAGCAGAGGGGCCTGACTGTTAGAAGGAAAACTAAAAAAAAACAGAAAGAAGTAACTTCATCATCAACAAAAAGGATGTCCACTCAGAGACCCCATCCGAAAGTCACCAACTGCAAAGACCACAGGTAGATAAATCCACAAAGATGGGAAGAATCAAGCACAAAAACGATGAAAACACCCAAAACCAAAAGGCCTCTCCTCCTCCAAGGATCACAACTCCTCACCAGCAAGGGAACAAAGTTGGATAGAGAATGAGTCTGATAAATTGACAGAAACAGGCTTCAGAAGGTGGGTAATGACAAACTTTTCAGAGCTAAAAGAACATGTTTTAACCCAATGTAAAGAAACTAAGAACCTTGAAAAAAGGTTTGACGAAATGCTAATGAGAATAAACAGCTTAGAGAAGAATATAAATGACCTGATGGAGCTGAAAAACACAACATGAGAACTTCATGAAGCATACACAAGTTTCAATAGCCAAAGTGACCAAGCAGAAGAAGGGATATCAGAGATTGAAGATCAACACAATGAAATAAAATGAGAAGGCAAGATTAGAGAAAAAAAGAGTAAAAAGAAATGAACAAAGACTCCAAGCAATATGGGATTATGTAAAAAGACTAATCTACGTTTGACAGGTGTACCTGAATGTGACGGAGAGAATCAATCCAAGCTGGAAAACACTATTCAGGGTATTATCCAGGAAAACTTCCCCAACCTACCAAGGCAGGCCCATATTCAAGTCCAGGAAATACAGAGGACACCACAAAGATATGCCTCAAGAAGAGCAACCCCAAGACACATAATCGTCAGATTCACCAGGGTTGAAATGAAGGGAAAAATGCTAAGGGCAGCTAGAGAGAAAGGTCAGGTTACCCACAAAGGGAAGCCCATTAGACTCACAGTGGATCTCTCAGCAGAAGCCCTACAAGCCAGAATAGAGTGGAGGCCAATATTCAACATCCTTAAAGAAAAGAACTTTCAACCTAGAATTTCATATCCAGCTAAACTAAGCTTCATAAGTGAAGGAGAAATAAAATCCTTTACAAACAAGCAATTGCTCAGAGATTTCGTCACCACTAGGCCTGCCTTACAAGAGCTCCTGAAAGCAGCACTAAACATAGAAAGGAACAACCAGTACCAGCTACTCCAAAAATGTACCAAATGGTAAAGAGCATCAACACAATGAAGAAACTGCATCAACTAATGGGCAAAACAACCAGCTAGCATCAAAATGGCAGGATCAAATTCACACATAACAATATTAACCTTAAATGTAAATGGGCTAAATGTCCCAATCAAAAGATACAGACTGGCAAATTGGATAAAAAGTCAAAACCCATCGGTGTGCTGTATCCAAGAAACCCATCTCACATGCAAGGACACACATTGGCTCAAAATAAAGGGATGGAGGAAGATTTACCAAGCAAATGGAGAGCAAATAAAAGCAGGAGTTGCAATCCTAGCGTCTGATAAAATAGACTTTAAACCAACAAAGATCAAAAGAGACAAAGAAGGGCATTACATAATGGTAAAAGGATCAATGCAACAAGAAGAGCTAACGATCCTAAATATATACACACCCAATACAGGGGCACCCAAATACATAAAGCAAGTTCTTAATGACCTACAAAGGGAGTTAGACTCCCACACAATAACAGTGGGAGACTTTAACACTCCACTGTCTATATTAGACAGATCAACAAGACAGAAAATTAACAAGGATATCCAGGAATTGAACTCAGATCTGGACCAAGCAAACCTAATAGACATATACAGAACTCCCCACCCCAAATCCACAGAATATACATTCTTCTCAGCACCACATCACATGTACTCTAAAATTGACCACAAAATTGGAAGTAAATGCTCACTCACTACTCAGCAAATGCAAAAGAACAGAAATCATAACAAACAGTATCACAGACCACAGCACAATCAAATTAGAACTCAGGATTAAGAAACTAACTCAGAACTGTACAACTGGATCCTGAACGTTGGATAAACAATGAAATGAAGGCAGAAATGAAGATCTTCTTTAACACCAACAAGAATGAAGACAAAATGTACCAGAATCTCTGGAACACATTTAAAGCAGTGTCTAGAGGAAAATTTATAGCAATAAATGCCCATATGAGAAGCAAGGAAAGATCTAAAATTGACACTCTATCATCAAAATTGAAAGAGCTAGAGGAGTAAGATAAAAAAAAAAAAAAAAACTCAAAAGCTAGCAGAAGACAAGAAACTAAGATCAGAGCAGAATTGAAGGAGACAGAAACAGAAAAAAAAAAAACCCTTCAAAAAATCAATAAATCCAGGAGCTGGTTTTTTGAAAAGATCAACAAAATAGACAGACAACTACCCAGATTAATAAAAAAAGAAAAGAAAGAAGAATCAAATAGATGCAATAAAAAACAATAAAGGGGATATCACCACCGATTCTACAGAAATACAAACTATCATCAGAGATTACTACAAACAACTCTAGGCACACAAACCAGTAAACCTTGAAGAAATGGATAAATTCCTGGACACTTGAACCCTCCCAAGCCTAAACCAGGAAGAAATAGACTAATAACGAGGGCTGAAGTTGAGGCAGCAATTAATAGCCTACAAACCAAAAAAAGCCCAGGTCCAGATGGGTTCACAGCCAAATTCTACCAGACATACAAAGAGGAGTGGTACCACTCCTTCTGAAACTATTCCAAACAATACAAAAAGAGGGAATCCTTCCCAAATCATTTTATGAGACCAACATCATCCTGATACCAAAACCTGGCAGAGACTCAGTGAAAAAAGAAAATTTCAGGCCAATATCCATGATGAACATAGATGTAAAAATCTTCAAAAAGCTTATCCATCATGATCAAGTAGGCTTCATCCCAGGGATGCAAGGCTGGATCAACATATGCAAGTCTATAAATGTAATCCACCACATAAACTGAACCAAAGACCAAACAAAACCACCTGATTATCTCAACAGATGCAGAGAAGGCTTTTGACAAAATTCAACGGCCCTTTATGCTAAAAACTCTCAAGAAACTAGGTATCAATGGAACGTATCTCAAAATAATAAAAGCTATTTATGACAAACCCACAGCCACTATCATACTGAATGGGCAAAAACTGGAAGCATTCCCTATGAAATATGGCACTAGACAAGGATGCCCTCTCTCACCTAGTCAATATAGTATTGGATACTCCTAGTCAATATAGTATTGGAAGTTCTAGCCAGAGCAATCAGACAAGAGAAAGAAATAAAGGGTACTCAATTAGGAAAGGAGGAAGTCAAATTGTCTCTATTTGCAGAAGACATGATTGTATATTTAGAAGACCCTATCGTCTCAGCCCCAAATCTCCTTAAACTGATGAGCAACTTCAGCAAAGTCTCAGGATACAAAATCAATGTGCAGAAATCACAAGCATTCCTATACACCAATAACAGACTTAAAGAGAGCCAACTCAAGAACGAACTGCCATTCACAATTGCTACAAAGAGAATAAAATACCTAGGAATACAACTAACAAAGGATGTAAAGGACCTCGTCAAGGACAACTACAAACCACTGCTCAAAGAAATAAGAGAGGACAGAAACAGATGGAAAAACAGTCCATGCTCATGGTTAGGAATTATCAATATTGTGAAAATGGCCATACTGTCCAAAGTAATTTATAGATTGAACACTGTCCCCATCAAGCTACCTATGACCCTCTTCACAGAACTGGAAAAAACCACCTTAAATTTCATATGGAACCAAAAGAGAGCCCACAAAGCTAAGGCAATTCTAAGCAAAAAGAACAAAGCTGGATGCATCACGCTACCTAACTTCAAACTAGACTAAAGGCTACAGTAATCAAAACAGCATGGTACTGGTACCAAAACAGAGATATAGACTAATGGAACAGAACAGAGGCCTTGGCAACAATGACACATATCTACAACCATCTGATCTTTGATAAACCTGATAAAAACAAGCAATGGGGAAAGGATTCCCTGTTTAATAAATGGTGCTGGGAAAACTGGCTAGCCATGTGCAGAAAGCAGAAACTGAACCCCTTCCTGACACCTTACACTAAAATTAACTCCAGATGGATTAAAGACTTAAACATAAGACCTAACACCATAAAAACCCTAGAAGAATACCTAGGCAAAACCATTCAGGACATAGGCATAGGTAAGGCCTTCATGACTACAACACTACAAGCATTGGCAACAATACCCAAAAATGGACAAATGGGACCTAATTAAACTCCAGCGCTTCTGTACAGCAAAAGAAAGAATCATTAGAGTGAACTGGCAACCAACAGAAGGGGAAAACATTTTTGCAATCTGCCCATCTGACGAAGGGCTAATATCCAGAATCTACAAGGAACTAAAACAGATTTACAAGAAAAAAACAAACAAACACATTCAAAAGTGGGCAAAGGATATGAACAGACACTTTTCAAAAGAAGGCAGTTATGAGGGCAACAAACATATGAAAAAATGTTCATTATCACTGGTCATTATAGAAATGCAAATCAAAACCACATTGAGATACCATCTCACGCCAGTTAGAATGGCGATCATTAAAAAATCTGGAGACAACAGATGCTGGAGAGGATGTGGAGATATAGGAACACTTTTACACTTTGGTAGAGTATAAATTAGTTCAACCATTGTGGAAGACAGTCTGGATTCCTCAAGGACCTAGAAACAGAAATTTCATTTGACCCAGCAATCCCATTACTGGGTATATATTCAAAAGATTATAAATCATTCTATTATAAAGACACATACACACATATGTTCACTGTGGCACTGTTTACAATAGCAAAGACCTGGAACCAACCCAAATGCCCATCTATGATAGACTGGACAAGGAAAATGTGGCACATACACACCATGGAATACTATGTAGCCATAAAAAATGATGAATTTGTGTCTTATGTAGCAACACAGATGAATCTGAAAACCATCATTCTCAACAAACTGACACAAGAACAGAAAATCAAACACCGCATGTTCTCACTCATAGGCGGGTGTTGAACAATGAGAACACATGGACACAGGGAGGGGAGCATCACATACTGGGGTCCGTTGGGGAGGGAATAGGGGAGGGACAGCAGGAGGTAGGGAAGTTCAGGAGGGATAACATGGGGAGAAATGCCAGATATAGGTAACGGGGGGATGGGGGCAGGAAGCCACATTGCCATGTAGGCACCTATGCAACAATCCTGCATGTTCTGAGCATGTACCCCAGAACCTAAAGTGCAAGTGTGTGTGTGTGTGTGTGTGTGTGTGTGTGTGTATATATATATATACACATACATATAATAAAGAAAGAAAGAACTGAACCCAACTCTAGAGACGTTTTACCTTCAGACTATAGAGAAGTAAAATTGTAATAACCTAGCTCTCAAATTTTGCCTAGGAGTAACAAAAGAAACAATGTCAAAGGGGTCAAAAAGAGTTTACTCATACTACATTTCAGCAAAGAGATGACATGAAGAGAAGTGACCAGTTCAAGCACAAGCAAGACAATGAGACACAAAATGGCAACTGAGCACATACCACAGCACAATGAATAAAGGAGAGGAACACATAAGCAAAAGACAGAGGCAGACTCATTCTGAAAGAAAACACAACTGAAGAAAAGGAAAATGCTCCACAAAACTCAAAAGTCTAGAAATTAGTAAGCACCTGAATATAAAATCGGCACTCAAAGACAAATGATAAACTGTAAAATGAGATGAAAATGGAGACTGCAGAGCTAAAGAAACCAACTGAGGAGCAAAACACCACCACAACTGACCCAAGTAAATGAATTAGAAAGAACAGCCCAAAATATTATACCTAACCTAGTGCTATGGTTTGAAGGTGCTCCCCATTACCAAGCTCCTGTGCTGGAAACTTAATCCCCAGTGCAACAGTGCTGAGACGGGGCACCTTTTACAGGTGACTAGGTCACAAGGGCTATGCCTCTATGAATAGATTATTGCTGTTACAGAGGGAGAGGCTAGTTATCCTGGCAAAAGTGAGTTCAGCCCTCTCTTGTTTGTCCTTCCTCCTTCCACCATGGGATGATACAGCAGGAAAGCCATAGCCAGATGCTGGCACCCTGATATTAGACTTTCTAGCCCGCAGAACTGAGAAATAAATTTATTTTCTTTATAAGTTACCAAGTCTGTGGTACTGTTATAGCAACATAAAATTAACTAAGGCACCAAGTTTTTTTCAGAAATAAATTTAACAAGCAAATATTCTAAAATGAGAAAGAACTTAAGAAATAAAGCACCCATGAGTCCTTCTGGTAAAAAAACAAAAACAAACAAAAAAAACTCCACTACTCAACAATGAGATTAACAAAGTAGGGATAAGCCCTGACTCTACTTAAAATATAAAACTAAACCATTGTAACAACTGTAAACTCTCTAGACTCATTCATACTTGACATTATAGCCAACTGAATCAATCTCAACCATAAACATATTTGTACACAAAATTATGACCTACATTCAGAAATTGGTCTACCTTCCATAAATGGGCACGTACATCTAAAAATTAAATGGCCTATAAATTCACTCAGAAGTGTTAATTTTCCTCAAAATCCACAGGCTCAAAAATAATTGCCACACCCCAAACATGTTCTCTTCTAGTCTTTCTTGTCTCAGTAAGTAGCACTGGAAACTACCTAATTATACTAGCCAGAAAGTGAACAGTCTTTCTTATTTCTTTCTCTCCTATCTCTCTTCTCCACTTCTCTCATTCAATCAATTACCACATCTAACTCATTCTCTTCCAATATATCCCATTCCTATCTGCATGTCTCCTGTTCACTTGCCTTATAAATTCAGGCCACAATCATTAATAACCTATATTGCTACAATTTTTTGTGGATGCAAAAACTAGATAAGCTTTCTCAATATCTGTTTTAACCTCCTCCTGGTAGGCTTTCCTGTACTTACAAAACTGAAAAGCTGAAAATTACATTTCCCACACTCTCTTGCCAATGAGATTTAGCTTCTATCAATCACAGCCCTGGAGACAGAGGCAGTAGATCTAGCAGACATAGTGTGGAAATAATTTAGGTAGAGGCTTCCAAACGACTAGATCACAGTTCAAGCAGTCTGTTGCTAGAGTCAACGCCCCGAGCAGCAGTTTCTGATCTCCAGAACACAGCTAAAGTGGTGTGGTCAGCACTGGGGACAGAAGCTTGATGATTTTATTTTCCCTTCATCTGATTTCTGACAAAGGTGAGCAGTGCCCTTGGTTGGGCCAGCTCCAAGGTACTATTCTAGAGTCAGTCCTAGAGAGGAAGCCTAAGTCTGCTCCTCCAGCCCTTTCACAGATTTTATAAGCACTTTATTCACTGTATGAAATCCGTTTCTTCTTAAAATAGCTGATGGCTTTTCATGACCCCAGGGTGGCTTCTTCTTAAATTAGCTAATGGCTTTCCATGACCTCAGGGTGGCCCCAAGACAATCTTTGTCTTTATGATAGTCACAGGGTTTGTTATAAAGCACAAATTGTATCACATCACTCCTCTACTTAAAACTGCACAATACCCATCAAAATAAAGTCCTAACTCTTCAACATGATTGTGGTAGGCAGAATTTTGGCTCCCACATCTGGGTAGGCCTAATCTAATCATATGAGCCCTCAAAAACATAGTTTTTTCAACCAGTAGTAAAAGAAGAAGTCAGAGAGAGTCAAAGCACCAGAATTTGACACATCATTGCTGGTTTGAAGTTGGAGGGGCACATATGCAAAGTAAAAGAAAGAAGAGAATCCTGACACCATTCTAACTGTACCTGCAAAGTGATTCTCCTCCAGAGACTCTGATATAGAAAACAGTTCTGCTCACATATTGATTTTGGCCTTGTGAAACCCTAAGCAGAGAGCCCAGCTGAGTCACACTGTGCCCAGACTTCTGTCCCACAGGACTGTGGAATACTAAGCAGGTATTGCTTTAAGCCATTAAATTTATAGTAGTTTATTATAGCAGCAATAGAAAACAAATATAGTAAGTATAAAAAGCCCTTCATGATCTGGTTCCTTTATAACTTTCCAACCTTATTTTATGCCATCACCATTACCATTTTCTGTACCTTCCTTTCTACTTATTTAAATCTTAAAATCAATATTTATTTATTAATTTATAGGTAAGGCCAGCAGACTTTTACAGATGGGTAAGGCTTTGGATGTGGGCTCTGAGACATATTCACTATTGAATACTAAGGAAGAAAGAGTATTAGAGTTGTGATTCACTATACATACTGAATACATTCCCTCAAAAGTTACATAAATAAAAATCATGATTTTGAGATAATCTGTTTTCTCCCAATTTTCTTATTTTCTACTTATCTTTAAGCAGGAAAAATTAGTAAATATAAGAGATCATGATTTTACAAAATGTCCAGTAAGTTTTAGAAAGCAATTCTTTCCTAATCTTTCAGCTTATATATTTTATTATGCAAAAGTCCATCCAAACTGAACTATACTGCATGCATTGTATGGCTAAGCTTTTCTCAGCATTAGTTCCAATGTCTTCCTGAAGTACACTCTGAAGAGGCAGATGGTTTCTGCTGACTAACCATTCTTCAAAATTAATTATCTCAATTTCTATTCTACCAATCAGTATCTTCATCTGACTGTTAACAAGTATTTAATACTCATAAGCCCTACTTCTGAAGTGGGCAAAATGTTACAAACCTACTTTGGAAAATATTACCGATAAGGATGGATTACTATCATCAAATGATAAAACATAAAGTATGCCGTATTTGTGTTCAGAAATTCTCTGGTCCATCCCCATGACCTTCTAACAGAAAATGGGCAATCACAAGTAAAATGAAATTTACTACAAACAGCATAAAGGCCAGGATAACCACGTGGGCAACTGAGAGTGATAAATGGAAACCAAATGTTAGCTGCAACCTTGTGAAGAATTACCACCCACAGGCAAACTGGTGCGTTTTCTTCCTCCTTCTTATTAAATACAAACACCCACTGAGAGAAAAGCTTCTTTCAACTTTAGGGGTCTTTGAATTATAAGCAGTTAGAAATCAGGCTACCAGTAGAGTGAAGCTGAAGGTGATACTAACAAATAGGGAAACAGAGAATGAAGCCATCGTGATGGAACCAGGCTAGCTCTACTCCCAGTGCAAATAAGCAAGCCTTCATACACTCAGGTCCTGGTCCATGGCACACTGACCTAATTACATAAGAGCAGATTTTAGTAGCATAGTGATGAGGTTTAGGAGAGGTATGCCTCTTTCTCCTTCTTGCCAATCCTCACTCTTGATTTCCAAGACCTGGGGGCATTTCCTCAATCACAATTCACTCATATATGACTCCAAAGTAGGAAGATGTGGTACACTATTTGAAAAAGACTACAAGTTCCCGCCATATTTCTTAATCTGTGTTTGTATTTATTATGAAACCTAAAACTCAAAAGATGGATAGAGGCAAAAGATTAATTTTTTCTCAGTTTTGATTAGCCTTGTAAAATAAAACAAACAGTATATACTTTACATACTTTTTAAGGAAATTATAAAATGAATTTGCCTAGAATCAGGGACTTTTCAACAGCAGAAAGCTTTCATATTTGGACATCAAATCTCCAAATCCATAAACTTTAAGAGCATCCTAGAGAAAAATAAGGGGATTTATATTTTCTGCAGGTACCTACACTACAATGGGATCATAAATATCCCAGAAGTACTCTATTTATTCCTTACAACTGTCTAGAGGTGTATTCATGGGTAGCTTATGTAGTAGTCTCAACAATTCTGTTAATCTATCATTCCTCAGATGCAGAACCATATTGAATCAACTGAAGTCTTTACTCTAGGTAATGCTATATTACTCCAAAATAAATCCCTAATACATATATCTCTCTTTTTAAGAAAAGTAATAAATAAAACATGAAAAATCCCAGACGGTTTACTTGGTTAAACCAAATCTTGGAGTTTAATTAACTAAAAGAAAAACATTTATTGAGTTTTTTTCCCAAGGCATTGGGAGGGATTCAAAAGTATATTCAAAACACCTTCTGATTGCTGTTATCTAATGTCTCTTGCTATAGTATGCTTTCTCATTTTTGATATGGCATCATATCCTGGGACATCAAAGAAACCTCCTTAACATTTTACAACTGGGACTTTACAAACTACACAAACAGTTTTCTCAAGGTCACGGTCACTAACATTCCATTTATTAAAATACATAAGCATCACCTTTTACAGGTAGAAGGAATCTTAGTAAACCATTTATTACATACTTTACAGATGTAAAAATTGAGACCCAGTTTGTTAACCAAAAGCCTTATAGCTAGTGAAAGGAATGGTGGAGATTAGAACTCAGGTTTTATTCCGAGACTATCATTGTTTTAGTTTCATCATTTGAGTGGTTTGCTGCAATAATAAATACTGTTCTAGAAATTCTTTTCTCCTTCCTACATTTCAAATGTCCCTATTCAATATCTCTCCAAGGGATCTCATTTCTCTTATTATCACCTACACTTGGGTAGTCCTAAAAATTCACTCCTAACTCTCTTTTCTTTTTATGAGTTCCACCACAGAGCTCATTCTCCTACTTAGCTGAAGCCATAGATGTTTCCCACTTGTCTTCTTCAAATATCTGCATTTCACCTACCTCCAGAATTATTTAGGGTCACCTTTCACACATATAACAAAGTGTCTTGAACTGAATTTAGTATTTTCCATTTAGTTTTTCAACAGGGCTTAAGTCATGAAACTACATTTGTTTCAACTCATTATTTCTTAAATTCAATTATCAAAAATTATCTAGTAAATGGATAAATAGAACATGATCTATTCATATGATAGAACACCATACAGAAGTTAAAAAAATCATTTTAATTCACATTTATCAGCATGATGCACCTCTGCTCCAAACTCAGAGTAAAAACTGATTAAATGTAAAAGCTTGTAATAATCTAAGAAAATATAGCTCAGGCTCAAAAATGATAAGCATCTCTATGGACCAGAAACTGAACAGAAATACAAATCATAGAACTAAAACCACAAGAACTCCAGGCTAGAAATCTAGAGCAGCATTAGCAGTAAGGAGTTCAGATTCTACAAAGCAAAGGAGACTAATGTGCTCCATGGGAGGAAGGGGAACTAGAGCCAGGTTCCCTGCTTGAAGTAGGGGTAGAATTGGGTGATGAGAGGTTGTGTATGAAATAAGGATGAAAAAAGAAAACTTGTGCAGATCCACTGCCTAAGGCTACCTCTGTAGAGCAATGGTTCTTTTTTTTTTTTGTTAATTGCATTTTAGGTTTTGGGGTGCATGTGAAGAGCAATGGTTCTAAGTGAAAGAACAAAAAGATAGCTCCCACCAGGAATTGAATCAAATCACCTGGTGCTTAAGACTAGGAATATACACTATTTTTGTAATTATTTCAGGACAGTTTCTCCAAATTCCATTATAAGAGCTGGTTCTGGACCAGGAGTTAGGGGAGCTGCTTAGAGGCAAATGCAAAACCATTGGACAGGGAGAGGCAAGCTCCAGCAGAAAGACAGAACAATCTAAAATGTGTATGTTCTAAAAACTGATAAAGCACACTAAAAATAATGAAACAAAAACTGGTAGAACAAGTAAAAATCAACAAGTCCAGAATTATAGTTAGAGAAATCAATACTCCTTTCTCAGTAATTGATAAAACAAGCAGACAGAAAATTGTTAATGATATAAAAGACCTGAATAACATTAACAACTTGACCTGGTATTTGTAAACATATCGACCAACAATATCAGAATACACATTTTTTTCTCATAGTGCATATGAGATAGTGACCAAGAAAGACCATATTCGAAACCAGAAACGTACCTCAAACATACCACTACAATCTTTAAAAGAATTGAAATGGTACAAAGTACATTCTCTGACTATAAAGAAGTTATACGAGAAATAATGAAAGATGAGGAAAATCTCTGGAATGAAAAAGAAAATATCTGGAAAATAAACAACACACTTGTAAATAACCCAATGAGTCAAAGAGGAAGTCACAAGATAAATTAGAAAATGTCTGATTTCAATGAAAATTAAAAATATAACAAATCCCAAATTACAGAATGTATCTAAGTGCTTAAAGCAAAATTTATAGAATTAAATGTTACAATAGAAAAGAACAGTATCTAATCAATGATCAATGCTTAAAAATCTATAATAAAAGATGAGCAAATTAAATCCAAAGCAAGAAGAAAGAAACTAATAAAGATATGAGCAAAAATCAATGAAATATAGAAAAAGAAAAAGAGAAAACTCATAACATCTGAAGCTGGTTCTTTAAAAAGGTTAGTAAACTTGATAAACCTCTAGCTGGACTGATCAGGAAAATATGATGCCAATATTGGGACTACAAAAGGGGACATCACTACTGACCACATAGACATTAAAGGCTTAGGATAGGCAAATACTATGAAAAACTTTATGCTCATAAATTCAACAACTATGATTAAATGGATGAATTCCTTCAAAAATACAAACTGCTACAGCTCACACAAGGAGAAACAGATAATTTGAATCATGCTATATCCATTAAATAAATTTAATTCACAGTTAAAACCTCCAGCAAAGGAAACACCAGGCTCAGGTGGCTTCACTGATAACAGGCTCAGACGGCTTCACTGATAATTTCTACAACATATTTTAGAAGAAAATAACACTGTTCCACAAAAACTCTTCCAGAAAAAAAGGAGAGAATAGTCATAAATGAGGCCAGCACTATCCTAATATTAAAACAAAACAAAGACATTTTAAGAAAATTACAGACAAATGTCCCTTATAAGCATAAACACAAAAATCCTTAACAAAATATTAGCAAATCAAATTCAAGAACATATAAGAAAAGATAATACATCATAATGAAGTGGGATTTATCTTGGGAATTCAAGGCTGGTTAAAAGTTCAATTAATATAATTTACTGTATTGATACATCAATTAAGAAAAATGGTACAGCCTTCTCAATAGATACAGAAGAAGCATTTGAATAAATTCAGCACCCACTCATAATAAAAACTCCAGCATACTTGGAAGAAGGAAATATCCTTAATCAAATAAAGGTCATGAACAAGAAATCCTAGAGTTAACATCACTTTTAGTGGTATAATGAATGATTTCTTCCTAAACAAGGAAAAAGGGTAGGGTGTTCTGTGGTTACTACTCCTACTCTAATATTATACTGGAGGTCCAAGTTAATGTAATAAGGTCTAAAAAACAACAAAAAAGTAGAAAGTCATACTGATTGGAAAAGAAGACATTACTATGCTAAGTAACAGACAATATGACTGTCTACAAACAATTTATTTAAAATCTACTAGAATTAATAAATTTAGCAAGGCTGTAGAATACGGTCTATTACAAATATCAACTGTAATTCTATGCCTAGCAGTGAACAACTGAATTTGAAATTTTAAAACAGTACTACTTATAATAGGACCAAGATACATGAAATCCTTAAATAAAAAGTAACAAAATATGTGCAGAATCCTTATGTGGAAAATACACAACACCAGTTTTTAAAAGAATACTTCAGTAAATGGAAAGAGATACTGGGTTCATGGACAGGAAGACTCAATACTATTAAGATGTTAATTCTGCCCGAATTGTTCTATAAATTCAACACAATCCTAATCAAAATCCCAGAAGTATGTTTCCTAGTCTTCAAAAAGCATATCCTAATATTTATATGTAAGGCAAGGAATTAGAACAGCTAAAATCATGTTGAAAAAGATCAAAGTTGGAGAACCCACACTACCTTAACTGAACAGTTACTATAAGGCTCTAGTAATCAAGATGGTGTGGTACTGGCAAAAAGACAGAGATATAGGTCAATAAAACACAGAATACAGAAATACAGGCCACCTATATGATTAGTTTATTTCTGACAAAGGTATAAAATCAATTCAATAGAAAAAGGATAGCCTTACCAGTGAATACTGCTGGAGTAACTGGCACCCATATGCCAAAACAAAACACTTAATCCACATCCTACACCATATAGGAAAATGAACTACGCCATATAACCTAGGGGTGTAGTAGACTATACTATCTAAGTTTATGTAAGTATACTTTATGATGTTTACATAGCAAAATCACCTAACGCTGCATTTCTCAGAACGTATCCCTGTCATTAAGCAACGCAAATTGACTATAATACTTAGGTGTAAATCATATAAAAGACATATAGGACTTGTACATTGAAAATTATGAAATGCTAGTGGAAGAAATCAGAGAAGGCCTAGACAGAGAGACATACTATATTCATGTACTGAAAGATCCCGCATACTAAAAAAATATTAACCTTCCTCAAATTGATCTATAGGTTTAACAAAATTCCTGTCAAAACTCCAGCAAAGTTTTCTTCTAGACAGAGATAAAATTAGTCCAAAATTTATATGGAAAGGCAAAGGCCCTAAAATAGCTAAAACAATCTTGAAGAGTAAAGTGTGAGGAATCGTTCAACATTAATCAAAGCTTACTATATAGTCACAGTAATCAAGAGATTGTGATACTCATCAGAGACATACAGCAACAAATATACAGATCATTGGAAAAGAAAAGAAAAACAAATCAAATACACCAAAACAAATACACTTTCCTGATTTCTGAAAAAGGCACAAAAGCAACACAATGGGGAAAAGACGGCCTTTTCAATGGACAATGCTGAAGCAACTGGACAACTATAGGCAAAAAAAAAATGAACCTCAACCTAAATCTCACACCTTAGACAAAAATTAACTCAAAATGGATTATGGATGCAAACATAAAAAGTAAAGCTTTGAAACTTTTAGGGAAAAAAGAAAATGATATCTATGGCTAGGCAAAGAGTTAATTAACACTAAAAGCACAATTCATCAAAGAAAAAACTGATAAATTGAAACACACTCAAATTAAAAATTTTTGTTCTCTGAATGGTAATGTAAAAAGGATGAACAGACAAGCTACATACCAAGAGAATGAATTTGCAAACCAATATCCAACAAACAGCTACTTTCTAAAATATATAAAGACCTCTCAAAACTCAGCAGTAAAGAAATTAAAAATCCAATTAAAAAGTGAGCAAAAACCATGAAAATACATTTCACCAAAGAGACTTTAAATATGGCAAAGACGTACCTGAAAAACTGTTCAACATCTTTAGCCATCAGAAAAACATAAGTAAAATCACAATGAGATATCATTACACACCTATCACAATGGATACTATTAAAAAAATGATGACAGCACCAAACACTGGCAAGAATGCAGTGAAACTGGATTACACATCTATTGCTGGTGGGAATGCAAAATGGTACAGCCCTTCTGGAGAACAGTTTGGTAGTTTCTTATAAAACTAAACGTGCAATTATCATATGACCCAGCAATGGCACTCAGAGCATTTATTCCAGAGGAATGAAAATTAATGTTTACACAAAAACCTGCACACAAATGTTCATAGAAGATTCTCTTATTTGTAAAAACCAAAACCTGAAATCAATCCCGATGCTTTTCAGAGGTCTTCCAGATGGTTAAAATAACCCCAATAAAATGCATGGATAACCCCTCCACACACAATAAAACTCATTTGTGTGTGTGTGTGTGTGTGTGTGTGTGTGTGTGTGTGTGGTTTTAGGTCAAGAAGTCGGAGTAAGATCGCTGGACAATACCAACATTAAGATTCTGGTTGTGATGTTGTACTGTGGTTCTGCAAAATTTTACAATAGAGAGAAACTAGGTAAAGGGTATATGGGATCTTGCTGTATTCTTCTTGCAAATACATGTCAATCTACAATTATCACAATAAAAATTTCAATTAAAAAGAGGCTACATACTACATGATTCCATTTATCTGACATGCTGGAAAAAATCAAAACAGCAGGAACAGAAAACAGATCAGTAGTGGCCAGAGGGTAGGAGTCAAGGAGAAGAGTTAAGGAATATTAGCATTTTTTGGATGATGGAACTGTTCTATATTCTGATTATATTGGTGAATATATACCTATAGTGTTTGTCAAAATTCAGAAAGGTACACTAAAAGGGGTAAAATTTATGTCACATACTTCAGTCAATCTGCTGTTAAACAAAGGACACTACTAAAAGATAGTCAGCAGGACTGATAAAGAAAAAATGGAAAGGCAGAAATAGGCATTATTACAACTAAAAAGGAGACGAATATTGTTATACAGTAGTACATTTTTAAAATCACAAAGACCCTCAATATAGAATAATGTTGAAGATCTACTGTTAAATGAAAAGACAAGATATAGTACAGAGTGTATTGTTTTGTGACCATTTGTGTATAAAAATTACACACTAAATAGCAATGGAAACTATAACAAGAAAATAGTATCAGTAGCTGCCTAGGGGCCAAATACTTGAGTAATTACTAAGGATACAAATGGTAAGAAGACTTATTTTGTGGTATACATCCTTTTCCAATTTCCAGTCAGGTTCCATGTGGAAGTATTGCCCATCCAAATGAAAATTAAATATAATAATTAAAATCTAAAACACCTACCCCCAAATCATAAGCTTATAAATGACTATTAAATTTTAAATCCAAATGAAACAGTTATTTAGTAGAAATAAATATGAAATCACCAACTCAATGCATTACATGAAGCCAGTGCAACCTTCAAAAAACCAGACAAGAACCGCAAAAAATTAAAGGCCAATTTTACATATGAAAATAGATGGAAACATCCCAAATAACATTATAAAATTAAATTCTACATGTTTAAAAAGAAAATTTAATATTTCCCAACCAAGTTGAATATACCAGGAATGCATAAATGGTTCAATATCTGAAAATGTATCATATTAAAATGAAGAGTTACAGAAGAAAACATGCTCATCTCAATACAAAAAGAACATTCTACAAAATTCAATGTCCACTTGTTATAAAAGAAACTCTTAGAAAAACAGAGATAGAAACTACCTGAACCTATCAAAACCCTATAGCAAAAGTCAGCATTTATATTGAAATACTACACATTGAAACTTTAGATACATTCCCTGTGAAGTGAGGAAAAAGATAAAGACGATCTTTTTTACTATTCATTTTTAATATTATACCAGAGGTCATATCCAAGAAAAAAAAGGTATAAAAATTATGTATAGACATAACTGTCTCCATAGAAATCCAACAGAAAATAAAGATTAATTACTCTGTATATAAGACTGACAGATACATGATCACCATAAAAAAAATCAATGTCATTTCTATAGAGTAACAATAATCAATTAGAAACGATAACAGAAAAAAATGATTTCACTTCAAATGGCTACAAAATGTTTAAGATACCTAAAAAGAAACTTAAAGATGCACAAGGCCTTTGCAAGAAAATTAGAAAACATTACTGAAGGAAATAAAAAATGTTCTGAGTCAAACAAAAAAACATTCTGTGTTCACAAATAGGAATACATAATAGCATCACAATGTAAATTCTTTCCAAATAAGCCAATAAAATGTAATGTAATCAAAATCCAAATTACAACAGAATTTTTATAGAACTCATAAGCTGAACCTAAAGTTCATATGGAAGTGAAAAGGGGCTACAATAACTACAACAATCTGAAAAGCAACAACAAGGTAGGAAAACTTACTCTTACTGGGAATTAAGACTTAATATAAAGTAATTTACCAACGTTGTAATAGTACAAGGGATGGACAAATACACCAATGGAATAGAACAGGGTCCTGAAACAGAAGCATCCATATAAAAAATAAGACATATGACAAATGTGGCATTGCAGATCAGTGGTAAATACCAATTATCCATATAGGGGGAAACCCTCAGACCTCTATTTAAAACTATACGCAAAAACAAATGCCAGGTAGATTTAAGTCATAAATGTAAAAACACCTTTAGAAAAAAATTAGGACCTTATCTTAAGTGCACTTTGGGGGAAAATAGTTTTCTCTAAAAAGATGCAATAAGAATAAACCATAGAGTTAAGGACAGACAAATCAGACATTAGTTGCATCTAAAAGTTGTACGTTGAAAAGCCACATATGAGGGAAGAAACTGCAATTCAACTAACAAAGAATTATAAAATGCTACTTTATATTTTAATGGAGATATAAAATATGAAAAATAGACGTCAAGGATACATATCAAATTTCTGCTAGTGATTACGTCTTGGAGTAAGAATCAGGGCTGAGAGTAGTAGAAAAAAGGTACTCCAATTTTATGTATAATATTATTTCTTTTTAATGAAAAATACACTCAAAGTAGAATAAAATATTAACCAATTTCGGTTCTGAACAGTATAAATATCAATGTTTTATTACTCTCTGTATTCTTTAGTATTGTTTTACTGACAAAATGCAAACAAAAACAGAAAAGATAAAACCGGCCCCAAGCCCTGGCCAAAACAAAAGTTCAGACAGCAAAGATAATTTCCTCCAAGCCCATGATTTGGGAGGGGTCTCTCTTTCCTTTGCGAGTATACGCAAATACTTGTATATAACTCCAATCAAGATTCGGAAGGTAGCCTGTCTTCTGCTGGTCTGGGAAAGTGGCAAGAAGTCAAAATAAGGTCCAAGGTAACTGGAACGACAAAGGCTGTAAGCAACAGGGAAAGCTAACATTTCAGAGGCTCTCCATGGTGCACCAAGGAGAATGCCCCTTTTGTTTCTCCTCAGACTCACAGCTGAATGTGAGGAGTGCTGTGTCATGGCCCTTGTCAGAGGATGATGGAGCATGGCAATATGGAGAACCCCAGGAGACTCATGTCCAGTATAGAAATGTTCCTTCACAACAGCAGGTCCTCTGTCTGGAAGGAATATGAGGTAACGGACACAGTACACTAAGATTTCTCTAGCATCCAAGACAAAATAAGCCTTCATTGAGGTGGTGTCCAAATACAGGCTGCTGCCTGCTCTCACAATAACATGGAGATACAATCAGCTCTATTTAGAAAAGCCATTAGTCTTAAGCAGGGAAAAACATACTCTCCATATTTCAAAAAGCATACCATTAATGACAATCAAATCAGCATTTGAGGAATTCCTAATGTAATCCTTGCCATCATAAAGGATTTCCCAGGACATAGTTTAGGGATTACTCAGGACAAACAGAAAATAAGTTAACAAAGAAAAGTAAGGGCAAAGAAAAGCCTCTAAGAAAACCTATTTCTGGCTTTGCCACTGTCTCTGACAATAGCACTTCCTCCTTCCATCAAATAATTGTTCACTGGAGCTATGTTTCTTATGACTCCTCCTTATGATAAGCAAAATTTTAAAGTCTGAAAAGACACACTAAATCAATGCATTTACTTCCTACCGCTGTCCTCAAAAACAAAAAGAAATCATTGAGTTCCCAAAGTTACATGATATGTTGATTTCTAAAAGTTGCATTTTTTTTCCTTTTTTTCTCTTTAAAATTAAACAGAGGACAACTGTGTATTAGGTAAGCACTAAAGAAGCAATTTAAATTCAATCTCTCAGAGGAAATGGAGAGAGAAAGTAAACACAAAACGAAAGGAACACTGAAAAATATAAGCAATGTGGATAGACATCTGATAAAGGGCAAGGCAAAAATAAGAAACACGTACACTTTACTATATGCCAGACCCACAAACATGGGTCTTTCTTTCTAAATAATTTTTCTATACCCTCGGAGTATAGAAATATCATTTAAAAAGAAATACCTTTCTTTCTCTCTAAATGATATTTCTATACCCTCAGAGAAATCAGGGCTATAAATACCAGACAAGAAGTACAACTTCACAATGTGTTTTCTGAGGACCAGTTCAAATTCTAGAGAAATTCAGTCTTAATACATATAATCCCTCTAAAAAGACATAAGCAACCTCCACCACACATGTCCTCCATTACTATAGTCTCAGTTATTAATTCAGTCTCTGGGCCTCTCTCACCTTCTTCTACTTACAAACCAGAATCTCTCCACTTAACTTCCCAACTTGAAACCTTTCAATGAATTTGTAAGAATTCATTAAGAATTCTGTAAGAATAAGCCCTACTGTAAGAATAAGCCCTACTGTCCCAGCACAGCATACCAAAGTCTTTCACAGCCTGCCCTATTTCTTACCTTCCTCCCCAGCATAATATGTACCATTAATTCCCACTTTTTTTTTTTTCAGACAGCGTCTAAGTCTGTCACCCAGGCTGGAGTGCAGTGACACAATCCCGGCTCAGTGAAACTTCCACCTCCTGGGGTTCAAGCGATTATCCTGCTTCAGTCTCCCCAGTAGCTGAGACTACAGGCATGCACCACTAATTTTTTGTATGTTTAGTAAAGACAGGGTTTCACCATGTTGTCTAGGCTGGTCTCCAACTCCTGGCCTGAAGTGATCCACCTACCTTGGCCTCCCAAAGTGTTGGGATTACAGGTATGAGCCACCACGCCCAGCTCCCACTTTTCACTAGTCATATCAAACTGTTGTAGTTCACTGCACATAAAGACATTTCATACCTCTGTGCCTTTCCTTCCCATGTACTCACATCTGTCTAGAATATTCTCCCCTCACCTTCACCAGATTAACTCAATCATTTTCTAGGAAAGTACCCTCTTCCAGCAGACCTAGTGCTCTCAGAGTATAAAGTGAATATTCAATCATCTTACTGAACAGTTGCTGTACTGCCAGGCACCACTCTAGGCACTGGGGAGATGGCAAGGTACAAAACAGAAAAAGTCCCTACCCCTACAGAGCTTACAGCACTATAGGGGGAGACTGACAATATATAAGAAATGTAAGTCGGATGTTGATAAATGACAAGACAAATATTAACAAAAGGAGGGTAAGAGAATTATGGGAGATAGAGGTATGCTATTTTTTTTTTTGTCAGCACCTGTGTAATCTATATTCTATTTGTTATTCTCCTTTTTTTTTTTTTTTGGAAGAAAGAAAGAAAAAGAATTAAAAAAAAGAAAAAGAAAAGAAAAAAGAATAAAGGAAAGGAAGAAAGAGGAAGAGGAAGAGGAAGAGGGAGAGAGAACAGGGGTGTTGCTTTATTGTCTGGGCTAAAATGCAGTCTAAAAATGGGTATGCCTGTAATTATGTTTAATAATAGAGACATAAAAAAAAGAGGGAAGAAAATAATTAACAAGCAGCCAGCCAATATTTCATTTAAACCTGTAAATACATGTGATGTAGTACTGATAAGAGTGTATATTTTGTGTATTTAAAGTGGAGAGTTCTATGAATGTTAATTAAGTCTACTTGTTCCGGATCCGAGTTGAAGTCCTGAATATCGATGTTAACTTTCTGTCTCATTGATCTGTAAGTCTCCCACTGTTATTGTGTGGGAGTCCAAGTCTCTTTATAAGTCTTATATATCTGGGTATTTCTGTATTGGGTGCATATATATTTAGGATCTTTAGCTCTTCTTGTTACATTGATCCTTTTATCTTTATGTAATATCCTTCTTTGCTTCTTTTGATCTTTGTTGCTTTGAAGTCCATTTTCTCAGCAAAAATTGCAACTCCTGCTTTCTATTTATTTATTCTTGCTCTCCATTTGGTTGGTAAATTTTTCTCCATCCCTTTGTTTTGAGTCTTTGTGTATCCTTGCATGTAAGATGGATCTGGATGTAGCATACCAATGGGCCTTGGCTTTTTTTGCCTGTCTGTGTCTTTGGATTGGGGGATTTAGTCAATTTAAATTTAGAATTAATAACAATATATATGAGTTTGATGGTGTCATTTAATGTTGGCTGGCTGTTTTGCCCATTAATTGATGCAATTTCTTAATTATGTTGATGTTCTTTATTTTTTGGCATTTTTTAGAAAGGCTGATACTGGTTGTTCCTTTCTATTTGTAGTGGTTCCTTCAGAAGCTCTTGTAAAGCAGGCCTGGTGGTGATGAAATCTCTGAGTGCTTGCTTGTTCACAAAATATTTTATTTTTCCTTCGCTTATGAAGCTTAGTTTGGCTAGATGTAAAATTCTGGTTTGAAAGTTCTTTTCCTTAAGGATGTTGAATATTGGCCCCCACTCTCTTCTGTCTTGTAGGGTTTCTGCTGAGAGATCTGCTGTGAGTCTGATGGGCTTCCCTTTATGGGTAACCTGACCTTTCTCTCTGGCTGCCCTCAGTATTTTCTCCTTCATTTCAACCCTGGTGAATCTGGCAATTATGTGCCTTGAGGTTGGTCTTCTTAAGGAATATCTTTGTGGTGTTCTCTGTATTACCTGGAGTTGAATATTGTCCTGCCTTGCTAGGTTGGGAAAGTTTTCCTGAATAACATCCTGAAGCGTATTTTCCAGCTTGGATTGATTCTCTTCGTCACATTCAGGTACACCTATCAAACGTAGATTAGGTCTTTTCACATAGTCCCAAATTTCTTGGAGACTTTGCTCATTCTTTTTTATCTAATCTTGTCTTTTTGTTTTATTTCATGAAGTTGGTCTTCGACCTCTAATATCTTTTCTTCTGCTTGATAAATTCGGCTGTTAAAACTTGTGCATAGTTTGCGAAGTACTCGTGTTGTATTTTTCAGCTCCATTAATTCACTTATATTCCTCTCTAAATTGTGTGTTATTGTTAACATTTCGTCAAACCTTTTTTCAAAGTTCTTAGTTTCTTTGCATTGGGTTAGAACAAGTTCTTTTAATTCCCAGAAGTTTCTTATCATCCACTTTTTAAAGTCTGCTTCTGCTAATGGAACACAGTCTTTCTCCATCAGGCTTTGTTCTGTTGCTGATGAGGTATGCTATTTTACATTAGGTGAGGAGAGAAGAAATCTTGGATAAAGTGTCAGTGAGGGAGAGAATGAAACAGGTAGCCTAGTGCATTCCAAACAGGGAACACATTGCAAAGGCCTATGGAGGGAGGCTCGATGTGTGTGAGGAACAGCAAGGAAGGCTTCTGTTCTTTTATTTTTATTTATTTTTATTTTTTTGAGAAGGAGTCTTGCTCTGTCACCGGGCTGGAGTACAGTGCCGTGATCTCTGCTCACTGCAACCTCCGACTCCTTGGTTCAAGTGATTCTCCTGCCTTAGCCTCCGGAGTAGCTAGGATTATGGGCACACCCCACTATGCTCAGCTAATTTTTGCATTTTTAGTAGAAACGGGATTTCACCATGTTGGTCAGGCTTGTCTCGAACTCCTGACTTCGTAATCCACCTGCCTTGGCCTCCCAAAGTGCTGGGATTACAGGCATGACTCCACTGTGCCTAGCCTATTTTTAAAAAAAATAAACGTGAGTTCTTATAAACAGGCTGCTATGAGAAGCATGGGCCTTAAGGGAACAAGGGTGGGCTCAGGGAGACTGGTCAGTAGTCTCCTCTAATAACACAAGAGATGATGAAGGATTTGGACTAAAGTGGTAGTAAGCAGTAGTCAGATTCTATACACAGTTTTTGAAAGTAGAAGCAAAAGGAAGAAAAACAGACTAGATGTGGGGTGTGGGAGAAAAAAAAAATCAAGAATGACTCCAAAGTTTTTTCCTTGAGCAACTGGAAGAATTGAAAAGAGGAGAACTGGCAGAGCAGTACATGTGGCACATGAGGCTGGGGGTGAAGGAAGCAGGGAAAGGGAAAAGGGAGGGTTTCAGAAGTTCACTTTTGGACATATTAAGTTTAAACATCCAGATAGAAGTATCAAATAGGCAGCTGGAAATCGCAGTCTGGAATTTAGGGGCAGGTCACAGCTGGATATATAAACATGGCAGTTATTAGAATACAGAAGGCATTCAAAGCTGCAGGACTGGCTAAAAGTGTGTAGGTGATGATTACAGAAGAGAAGAGATCCAAGGACTGAGTCCTGGGTTAAGTCAAGTTTTAGAGGTTGGGAACATGAAGAGGGCCCAGAAAAGGAAATCTGTCTCTAGCTTAGCTTCTTGAGAGTAGACACTACTTTTTTTGTCTCTTTAGCTTCTAGCCCAGTGCCTCTTGGTCCTTAGTAGGTATTCAGTACATAAATTAAACTGTCTTTTGAAACCCAGCTAGAATCTAGAGTTATTTCCTGGAGCTTCTCCTGGTAAGGCATGAGAGTCTAATAATTAAAATATGACCAGCCCAATGAGGACATCTTTCCAGCTACCTGCAGCACACACTGGACTTATTTGGAAAAAGCAGACCATGCCACTGCTACATAAGCTACTAAGAGACATAGCACAGAAGAAGGCTTTAAAAGAAAGAGTCTATTGATTGGAAAAGCAAACAGTATGACGGTCAAAGGCCAAGAATCAAAAAACAGAGTTTTCCTCTTCTGTTGTCTCACAAAGTAAATAAACATGAAACACATGACTGATTGCCCAGTTTTTTGTTAGTGCATTATTGCCATAACCAGCTAGAGTAGACAGGCTAAACTTCCAGCTCTACCTATCAGCAGAAGGCAATAAAAGGGATAACTGAGCACCTGTAAGAAATTATAAAGCTCTTAATAAGTATGTCTCCCTTCAGTCCCCTAAACATTTTATTCTTTCCATCATAAAAATTCAAATGATTCAGATTTTGCATTTTATCCTGGGATAGAAAAACAGATATGTGAATCTCTGGATCATCTTTAAAGTCTTCTATTGCCAAAATGACTAATCTCATAGAAACAGATGTGTGTGAATAATCCAACTGACTCACAAAATAACTTTGCTACCATAAAGGACATTCAACTGATCATGTCGGCTCTTTATTCATAACCTCAAAGACATTTTGGGTAACTTTTCTTACTTCATGTCACAGTTAATTAGAGCTATTTCATGTTTAACTGACACGAGAGGAAAATGAAAGGAGGAAGAAAAGCTCAGGGAAACAAACTAGAAAGGCTGCAGTGGAAGTAAGAATTTACAGGAAAATTGAGTTGAACATTGATTTTTTAAAAAAAATTTCATTAAATGAAAAGCAATGTTTTCTCCAAATAAATGGATGCCTCCATCCTACCTGGAAACTAAAGTTCAATTTTATATGAGACACTGAATGATGCAGAGTGTCAAATTCCACCTTTTAGTAACTATACACAGTATTACAGGCTATTCATTGGCATTTTAG